GAAGTGCTGCCGTTGCTCGCTAACCGCTGCCGATGGAGATCGCCGAGGGGTCGCTCTGTTGCTGGTTCGAGGAGACGCCGCCGCTACAGTTTCCGCCGTGAGGTGTGGTCGCCGGAGAAGAAACTCAACGAGGGGGGGTGACGGCGACTAGGGCAAGAAGGAAGAAGAAGATGGAAAAACCCTATGTGTTTTCTTTTCTTTTCTTTTTATTAACTTTCTTTTCCTTTGTTTTAAAACTAAACCAACCCAAAAGGTCCAACATGACCAAGCCCAAGAGAAAAGAAATCCATTCCAACTTAAGACAAAACCAACCACACAGAGCCCAATATATATATAAATTTAATTAAAGTTTAATTTAAAATAAATGAAAATCTCCTGATTCGAGACTAACTAACCTGAGTGACCCGGGGCGTTACACTGGGATCTGGATATGTTCTCACATTTATTTTGTAGGAATGTAGGATACCAGGCATCTTGAGATGCCTAAGTATCGTAAGGTGTCCATACCGATGGCATCTCATGAGTTTGGGATACTTTTTAAATTTTTGTGTTTCATTTTTTATATATATTTTTTCATCAATTTTATTTATTTTTTATTCAAAAGAATATTTATTATTAATTTAAATATAAATTAATGTAATTATCATCAAGCAACTTTATGTCATTAGGTATGTATATTTGTAAATTACATTTACATATAATATAAACTATAATTAAATTATATAATATTCTCCATTTATTTTTAATATTTTTTGAAGAAATTATATTAATAATAAAATTTATTATCATAAATATATAATTTTAAAGAAAATTTTTTTTATTTATTTTTTTACAATAGACATACATGTGCTATTTTTATTTTTTATTTTGGCTCTTACTACCGAACAATGTGACGATGAGGTAAATGAATTTCCTTAAAAATAACATCAATTATATGATTGTTTTTCTAGAAAAATATTCAAATTAAAAATAAAATTTATATTAAATTACTATGAATTAATTTGTTCTACACAAAAATATATATTAAATTAATTAAAATAAATCTATTTTATGAGATAAATGTATAAATTATATGAAGAATCATATGTCATTTTTGGAACATTCTATAAATTAACACATTCTCAATAATGAGTCATGCAAAATAAACATGACTACCGCAATATTCTCACATATCCTTATAAATTTTAATACAAAATAAATGTGGTTACTGAAGATGTCGAACGTCTAAAATTTCAGACATATGAAGTTGTAGGTATCTGTAGATGTTCGACATCTACTTTCTCGGAAAACAAACGACCCCTCAATTTTTTATTTGAACTTCTTGCCCTTGAATAACGTTAAAATTGAGTGTGTCTTGCATTTGTTTGTTGTTATTTGTACTTGTTATTTTTTATTAAGTTCACACAAGACAGATAATTGGTTCATTGGAATATAATGTTTGTCTTTATGGGAGGAATGACATGTGAATTACCTTGTGTCATCCCTCTCCCTCCCTCTCTCCTTTCTTTCAATGACATGTGAATTACCTTGTGTCGTCCCTCTACCTCCCTCTCTCCTTTCTTTCAATGACATGTGAATTACCTTGTGTCGTCCCTCTACCTCCCTCTCTCCTTTCTTTCAGCCGTCTCTCTCCCACTCTCTCTCTCTCTTTTTTGTCCTCTCAACTCCTTCCTTCGTGTGATTCACAATGAACTTTTTTTTTTAATTTAATAATCGGTTGATTGGTCCAAAGTAAGCATAGTTTAGTACTAATTAACATATATCCCAACCAAAATGTTTCAATCCCCCACCTTCACATGTTGTACTAAACAAAATTGATCGATTGGTAGATTGAAATGAACCAATTGATTTGTTTTTTTAATTTAAAAATAAATCATCACCAATTGTGAGTGTAAAGTCTACAAATACGAGGATATGGAAGTGTAGTGTTGTATGATGATTGCAAGAAGTTTTATGTATTTATATATTAAGAATCTAAAACAAAAAAAAAGTGACCAAAACTTATTTTATGTATTTATTTTTTAAGAATCTTATCTTGATGGTGGTCACATTGTTGCCTTATGCAATTTAATTTATCTTGTTAGTTCATTGCATGCAACAATGACCAGTTCTTTTCATAACTCACAAAAATTATTTAGAAAAAAAAAGGTCTCGTTTGAGGTAGTTTCATATTGCTAATCATATTTATCTCTTATTTTATTGTGTAATAGGACCCGTTTTAATATCTTATTTCAATAACTTATTATAATTTATGCTGTTTTAGCATGTTTAAGAATTAAAATAATAATAATAATAATAATAATAATAATAATAATAATAATAATAAAATCATTATCATTTGTACTCATTTAAAATTGTGCATAAATATGTAGAGAATAAAAAAATAAAAATAATAAATAATAAAAGAAAGAAAGAAAGAAGTTGAAACCTAAATTATGTAGAGAAGAAAAAAAATCCTTACTCCACATGATTCACGATGGATTGGTTGGATAAGAATGAAACAGCTCAACCAATCGGAAATTTTTTTATTTAAAACTCAATCCTCACCAATTGTGGGTTTAGAGTCTACAAATACCGAGATATATATTAAGAATCTGAAACAAAAAAAAATGACGAAAATTTATTTTATGTATTTATTTCTTAAGAATCAAACATTAAGAATGTGAGGGTGGTCACATCGTGTCTCGTGCAATTTAATTTAATTTGTTGTTTTCAATGTATCCAATACTGATTAACTTCTTTTCATAACTCACAAAAATTATTTAGAAAAATCTCATTTGCGGTGGGTTCATATTGCCAACAATATTTATCTATTATTTTATTATGGAATAGGACCCGTTTTAATAGCTTATTTCAATAACTTACTATAATTTTTGCCAATTTAGCATGTTTACTAATTCAGAAAAAAATTATTATCATTATCAAAAAAAAAAAAAAGAAAAAAATTAATATCATTTGTACTCATTTAAAATGATGTAGAGAATAAAGAGATAAAAAAAAAGAAAAAAAGAAAAGAAAGAAGTTGAATCCTATAATGTAAAGCTTGGGAACTAGAAGCAAAGTTAAAATTGGCCTACAACTCTGGGAATGGCTATAAATAGCAGCTGTATATCCTATAAAGAAAGCAACTAGAAATGGAAAAGAAAGGAATTGTGTTGGTTTTTAGCACCTTGGTAGTGATAGCAAGCTGTGATTACAATTACTATCAAGTTACACTGCAATGGCAACCAGCTACATGTAGTGATGCAAACCTGCAGACTCCGTGTGTTAACACTCCACAAGATAGATTTAGTATCCATGGCGTGTGGCCAACTTTATCGTCGGGATCTTATCCGCAATGTCCTGGTACGCCGGCCTATGATGGTAGCAAGGTAACTCATATTTGTAAACCGGTGTTGGATTAATTTATTTTCAAAGTATGACGATGTATAATATTTGACTCTCTCTAGATCTCGACGATAAGAAATCGTCTAAACGCCGATTGGCCAAGTGTAATCTACGGAACAAACCCGACGCTATGGAGCCACGAGTGGACAACCCATGGAACATGTTCTTATCCATCTTTGAGTCAACTGGACTATTTTACGTTCGGACTAGACACGTATGCTAAATACGATATCTATTCCGCTCTCGATAAGGAAGACATCTATCCTAGTGAAGACGTATACTCAAAGAGTAGTATCAATAACGCAATTCGCAAGATAACACAGAAGTTGCCAGGCCTTCGGTGCAACACAAATGATTACTCCCGCGAGAGACAGTTGCATGAAATTATTTTGTGTTTCGCAAAGAGCAATCGGGCCATTATAGACTGTCCGTCCAATGTCGTCACGTGCGGCAATTACGTGTATTGGTACCCATGGTATCCGGAAGGAGTGAAAAAGCAGTAATAATCTCGACACACCAACTACTCCTTATCACCTGGTTTAGTAATTTGAAGCTTATGTTTTCCTAATAATATCTACCCATCCTCTGGTTCTTAATAATGTTTGCCTTCTATGTATGTTATGAAATTAATGAATAATATGGAATGACTTTCAATAAATTATCTCCTTTTATTAGTCTTCACTTCACAACCACAAAAATTTGTTTTTATTTAATAACGGTTGGAGGGTAAAATAAAACCAGCCACCTAGACTAAACAAAGATATAGTATCTAGTTGGATCTATCTTTTCTCTAGTAAACAACCTACTTACCTTGAAATAGCTTTGTATTTGACAAATTGTCTATCATAGGAAATGCCAGTGTATATATAGCTCGCGCCTTTATGTGGATACCAAACTATAAGAGAAACTATATGTAACCATGTAACAACCTTTGTAACGGTTGTACCAGAAGAGTCTCTTTTTCAACTCCTATATATACGCACGCACTCTCGTACATAGGTATGCTATTATGTCTGAAACCGACTTATATAGATTGGAACTTGGACTGACTTAGACAATGGAGTGTTTGTCTGTTATATTTGAGCATCAATCTGGCACTCAAACGTCTTTGTGGATCCCGATAGAAAGCGAAGCTGCAAAAAGTAAGTCAGCACTCACTACAAGAATTCAGGGTTTCGAAGATGACAAATTTCGTCGTTAAAAGGTCAAAATTCGTCCCCAAAAACGTTTGGCGAAGAAAATAAGTCGTTGCCAGAATCGTCACCGTTGCTCGGTCGCGAGAGGGTTTCGGTGATGACTTTTGTTTTTCATCGCGGAAGGCCACCTACGGCGACGAAATTTATTTTGTCATCGAAGGTACCTTCGGCGACCAAATTCGTTTTTGTGGCCGAAGGTACCTTCGACAACCAAATTCGTAGTTGTCACTGAAGATGTCTTCGGCGACGACATGGAATTGGTTGCCGAATCTTTGGTGACGACATGAATTTGGTCGTCGAAGGTACCTTCGGCGATGAAAACTGATTTGGTTGCTGAAGGTAATTTTTGTCCCGAACCTAGCCTTCGGCGACCAAACTTAGAATTCGTCGCCGATGCTTTTTTATTTTTTTTCCATTTTCAACCATATTACTTCAATATTAAACCTATATGCCATAAATTTCAAATTTCATATAAAAATTTATAATATTAAAAAAAAATTGGTTTTACAAAAAGTACAAGAAGTCCATACAAACCAAAATTGAACAACCTATTCTAATAAGTCCCAAAATAAAAAACCTAAACATATGAAAATGTCCCATATCATCAAATTCTTCACGAGAGATTTATCTGAAGGGATGTGAATCCCGGAGCGGAAGCGGACCGTTGTCCGTGAAATTTGGGAAACAAAATCACAATGTGCAAGAAGAAAAACTGTAACGCCACAGGTCCCTCAGGTTAGTTAGTCTCGAATCAGGAGATTTTCATTTAATTTTAAATTAAACTTTAATTAAATTTATATATATCGGGTTCCGCGTGATTGGTTTTATCTTAAGTTGGGATGGGTTTCTTTTTCTCTTGGGCTTGGTTATGTTGGGCTTTTATTGGGTTGGTTTGGTTTTAAAACAAAGGAAAAGAAAATTAATAAAAAGAAGAAAAAAAAAAACACATTAGGTTTCCATCTCTTTCTTCCTCCCCTTGCCCTAGCCACCAACCTCCCTTCTCTTCTTCTCTTCCTCCGGCAACCGACGACACCGGCG